TGGGACAGTTCGACAGTGCACAGTTCGAATTAGAACAGTTCGATTTTGTCCTTGTTCTGTTTCGATACTTGTTCGAGAAAGACACTGTTCTGATTTGAATCAGTTCGACTTTAGGTCTGTTCGATTTTGAAAACGTTCGAATTCGTCGTACCCCCGGTTGTGCTAGGGACTCTTTTAAGGATTTCAAGTGAGTTTTCTTAAATTCTAAGGTTTTATTTGTTGTTTCTTTCTAACTTGTTCATAATAAACCGATTTTGTTACATTTCTTGTTGATTTTCTTCTATTTTATCACAGGAACCTGATACCCCGGACATACCGCGGGCAATTTGGGGGCCGAACCGTTTTGTTATCCGTTTATCCGTTCCTTTACCTTTTTTTTCGTTGTGTTTTGCATCAATTCTCTCCAGAGTTTGAAGGATCCAGTGAGAGGATTGTTGTGAAAATTAGTGAATTTCGCAAGAATTTCTCCGAGTTTGAAGGAACCGGCAGGAAATTCTTGTAAAATTTGCGAAGAGGACATTCGTGCAGGTGAAGGCCTAGCGAAGAGTTCGATCAGGTGAAGGCCTGTCGAAAAGACGCGATATCCGTAGGAGATTCAACAAAAGCCCGATATTCTTTTGAAGGAAAGATTTGTTTTCAGGCTTGGAGATGACGACGATCGGGAGCAAGTCAAGAAGCAACAAGGACAAGTCGGTGGATTCCGAGAAGAGTGCAGTGAGGACGGCGACGATGGAAAGCTGGACAGAAGCGATGCAGAATCAGGTAACGCTGAGAGAACGAAAGAAGCTTGTCAAAGGTTACGCTGATTTCATCGGAACCAGTGAGACAGTCGTGGAGAGTGTGCGTGAGCAGTTGGGCGTGCACAGCAAATGTTCAGAGAGACAGAAAGATGTGATCGTGAAGCCAATGAAAGAGTTTGTCAGCGAATTGACAAAGCGCTACAGCGAGCTGGGCAGTGGAAAGTGGGAGCGCGTTGTGATGCGCATAATGCGAGAAAACGGGCTGGAAAAATTGGAAGACTTGCGGGATGCGGTCTTGCCGGATGATTTGACAGCGAGCGCGAGAAATACTGAATCAAAAGTGTTTCATAACCAGTTGAAATTGTTGCAGGAAAAATGGACGAGAGAGCAAGCAGAATTCGAGGAAAATCTGGATCGAACAAGAAGAGAAAAGGAGGTGTTGGTCGAGAAGCTTGAAGAAGCGTGGAGAGCCGCCGAGAAGGCAGAAGAAACGATTGAGGAGCTGGGAAGGGCACTGCAGAAGGAAAGGAAGACGTCGGAGAAGTGGAAAAGCCGATGGGAAAGCGCAGAAGGCAAGAAGAAAGAAATACAGTCAAGAAATAAAGAGAAAATTCAGGTGCACTCAAGGAGATCGTCGTCAAGGAGTTCGAATGGTTCGTCGGTGGATTGGCGCGATGAGAGAAAGGAAAGAAAGACCGGTGAGTCTTTTTCTAAGAAGTGTGACCTAAAAAATGATCGAAGTGAAGACTGGCGCGTGAAGGTTTGGCAATCGAAGAAATGAGCATCGGCAAGAGTTTGAATTTTCTGATTCACAACACCAAGAAGTACCTTCACCGATCCGTTTCGACATATTTTGAAGCAGCTTATCCGGAAAAAACGGTGAAACTGAAGGATAAATCCGAAGAGTTTGCTGGAGTTCATGTATGTAATTATTGCTTATTATCTTTTATTTTTATACATTTTTAGCTCGGAGTTTTTGTGTTCATCGATCATGAGCCCTCTTACTATGCGAAAACTCTTGGAAGTGTTCCGGGACCTGACGAGGAGTCCGATTTCCCAAACTGCCCAAAAATCGACCTGATGGAAATTTATGTTTACTTCCTCCTCAAATTAATTGGTGTGGGACCGGTGGAATACATCATGTGATACCAGATATTACCAAATCTGATCTGGTCTTCATGGCAACTAAATTAGGTGGGCATCAGTTTGATTTTTAATTTTATACCTGATAATTTAGTTGATGGATTTCGAACCGCTTCGGGAGTCTCAGTTTCTGAAATAATAGCGAGTACTTCTTCCGAAGGTGATAATTAGATTGTTATACATGAATCAAATTCAATTCATTTTTTAGTGGTCGGACCAGTCTAAATCGATATGGAAATGGGAAATCAGATGAAAATCTTGTCTTCCTTACTTTGTTTGAGCGATCTGCTCAGGAACAAGGGTAATCATGGAGTGGTGGAGCAACAAATCACTGAACTCGAAAAGAAGGAAGACGAACATTGTTCTCGTGAATTGAGAATTATTGACTTTGGGGTAATTTTTTTTTATATTTTTGTGCAATTGTTTATATATTTTTTGTTATTTCAGATCAACCTTGGCATGATCGACGCCGATCCGTGTATTCTGAACTCTTCCTTTGATATCGCTTATTTGAATACTTTTTTTGCAAAGTGGAATCTTCAGAAAAATATATACAGAGCAAGAGAAGCAATGAATAACGTTCCTGTCCTGAAAAACAACCAGAACGTTAATCACGCGACATTCGATCGGTATTTTAAACGCCTTGAAAAGGCTCTAACAACTTTTTAAAAATAAATAATTTACCAATTCTATGTTCAAAATACAATTTACAATTCTGTATACTTTGCTGTTAAATTGAAGTGAATTAGATAAGGTTTTGGAATTGTATTAGAACTTCGCCTTTAAAATTATTCCTAATTTAGTCCTATGTTTGTGATTTGATGGCTTAGCGCAATATTTCGACCATTTCGACTATCCATTTCGACCACATTCTAGAGTACCGAACTTTTCATGTCGATGAAAATGTCGATGTCTGGTGAAATGCATTACATTTCAAAGAAAGATAGAATAACTAAGTTAGCTAAGAAACCTAACTTTAATAGGAATATAATAATAAACAAAGAATTGAGTTTTGTTGAAATGGCTCAAACTAAAATAGTTCTAGATAAGCCTATTTATGTTGGCTTTGCTATCCTGGAGTTAAGTAAGTGGCTGATGTACGATTTTCATTACAATGCTATGAAGAAAAAATATGGAGATAACATTAAATTATGCTATCAGGATACTGATTCCCTTATTTATGAAATTTTTACATCTGACTTTTATGAAGACCTATCAGAAGATTCTTCATTAAAAAAATATTTCGATTTCAGTGAATATCCTAAAGTATAATGAATTGTATAATGAAGAAAATGAAAAAGTTGTTGGCAAATTCAAAGATGAATTAAATGGATTAATAATGCAAGAACTTTTAGCCTTGAAACCCAAACAATATGCATATAAAATTGCTGAGGAAAGACGTCAAGAGTTTGTAGATTATTACAATAAAAGAATTCAAGATGAAATAGAGAATCCTAAACTTCCAAAAGTTCCAAAACCTGGAGATGAGGTTAAAAAGAGTAAAGGAATAAAGAAAAATGTTGTCAAGAAGTTAAGAGTTGAAGATTTCCGAGAAAGTCTTTTCAATAAGAGTATTGTTAGAAAGAAACAATGCTGTATTCGAAGTATCAAACAGCAATTATACACCCAAGAACAGGAAAAAGTTGTATTTGATAATGAAATGACTCAAGCGAAAATGCTGCAATTCAAAAGAGTTATTATTCCAGATTCTTTTGAGACTCTGGCATATGGTTATAAAAATTGAGATAAAACACTTCTTTGAAAATCATATTTTTCTAATAATTTTAAAAGTAATAAACAATAATAACCACAATGATGTGTTCCAAAATCTTGAACTTTGAATGTTGAAAGCTCTATTTTATCTTTTTTATTTCTACTCTTGAGATATTCTTGAAGTTGTAAAGGAGGATCAAGTCCGAAGGAATCAAAGTAATAAATCTTCTTATTATTCTTGGAGTAACATACCCAATGAGTACCTTTACCACTAGAAGAATCCAGATTGACAATGCCTACTTCTTTTTCTTTAATTCCTTCACTCGGCAAAGTATCTCTCATAAATACACCTCTGAAGTTTTTTATCTTTAATAATTTTACAAGTTCTAAGAGATCTAGATTTGTTAGTGATTTCAAATTTTTTGAAAATTTCATTTATTTAGCATTATTTTTATTCACCGTTCTAGCGCACCTTTTCGACCATTTCGACCATCCATTTCGACCACATTCTAGAGTACCGAACTTTTCGACCATTTTACCATTTTTGAAAATTGTTGAAAATGACACATTTTTGATGACCAAAGGTTAGAAATCAATGAAAATAAGCCTTGAAATGGCTTAAAAATGAGAAAATCGAGGATGGGCGAAAAGGTGCGCTAGAACGGCAAAATATACATATTATTTTAATTTCTATTTTTTTATACAACAATTGGGATTTTTACTTACAATATTCATTTTAGGCAGCTTGGACGAGCACCATCAGGAACGATCAGAATCTCCGCGTATCTTCGATGGTATCTGATTTCAAACAGTCTAACAATTTATTGCTGATTTTTAGAGCGATTGGCAATGGAGCTCCGAAATCGACTCTACTTCATACCACGAGCACAGAAGGCTTTTCACGATCCAGAAGAGCCTTCTAAGGAAACGAGTCAGAATGAGATAAACGGCGGATGCGTATCACCCATCTCACCCCGTGCGGCAGTAACATATGCCCACAGATCCAATAAATAGCTTCGCGTTTACGATGAAGAAAAGAATTCGGAAGAGAATGTGCGTGGCATTGTTGAAATTCGGCAGTGCGACAATCCATCCATTCGACATACAATGAAGGTTTCTCAAAAGAATGTTTTTTTTATAATTGATTCAATATTTTGTAGGTGATCGTTGTCGATTGTCATCACGACTTCGTGATTCTGTACTCCACTGTCGGCCGCGATATCTTCGACGACTATCCTTTCTCAAGTCGTTCCCCGAGGAACTTCGAGTGGTTTCTCGGCTTCGGTCTGAGCTACAAAAATCAAGGAGGACGACAAGTAACACATCGCTCCGGCCGGATCTGCTCCGTCATGGACTATAGAGGGCAAATGCTGGCAAGTGCTTCCATCGACGGAGATTCTGGCGGCCCGTGTTACTCAGAAGACCGATCTCTGATCGGGATCATGGTGTCGTCGACTACAACAGATCCTTTGCTCGCGCATGAATATGATCGTGAAACAATGGAAGAGGAGCTGCGAGACGCATCCAGCAGTCCGGCCGATACCTGGATAACACCCGGAAACTTGATAATAGAAGCATTCAGTGTAAGTTATTATTTTAAAAAAACCTATAAATTTGCATATAATATTTTTCCCTCTTCTCACGCGTTTCATAAAGGGGCGTGTCACTTTGCAACCTGCGGCGCGCCCACGTTTTATTGAATAGACAGTAAGAGATTTAGACAAAACCCCGCCCATTTGCAGCCTGCGCACGCGATTTCAGCAAAACTGTGCACGGTTTATCGTTCTTGCCGATTTGTTTCTTGCGCTTTCGTTTCTTGCGGATTTCAATTCTTGCCGATTTGTACGGTCTCCGAAAGCCTGGTAGATTCAAGTTTATACACAAATCCCATAACTTTTCGTAAAAACAGTGATTTCAATCTTCAATATCTAATTTTTCAGGTTTTTTTTCAAATTTTGATTTCAAAGAGTTCTCCAATTTCAAGCAAACGAGTCAAAATTTTAGCAACTGAGACTCTACAAATGGAAAAATTCTAGCACTTGGGACAATTCTAGAACATGATCTTCGAGCAAATGAGTATTTGCCAACTACTGTCTCCGCATCCGTCACAAAAAACACCATATTTTTAATTCTATCGCATCTCAAATCTTAACGAACAACAATATCAGTACCATTTATGATTTCATATTTTATATTAGCAAAGTAGGTTAGAGTATTTTCAGGGTGCAATAAATAAATAAATATTCACAGAGATCGAAGCAATCAGAAAACAAATGAGATAGTGGTTGATCAAGCAAAGACTATGAACAAGTTCCAACATGAAACAAAATTCAAAACTAAACTGAAAAGAAGAAAAAGGGGAAAACATGCAATACGAATCTAATAAACACAAATATCTGTAGTCGATGAGAACATTCGCGGGCGAACTTTGAGAGTGGGTGTATCCAATTTGAAGTTCTCAGCGCCGTTCTTTCCACGCTCAAGCATCTCATGAATGATCTCCAGTGTTGACTTTCCGAGAGTTTCAGGCATGTACAGGTAGATATAGCAGAGACAAAGCATTGAGGGAACAACGAACAGGAATACAAAACACATACTTCCAAAGATCTGAAATGAGATGCCACATGAAGCGAAGCAAGAAATGACAAGAAAACTTACACGGAACAGCGGGATTGTTGCAAAATCAGTGAGTGCAATTAGCAGGTTGTGAATAGCAAAGCAAGCGGAGAAAATGGTGCATCGATGACGTTGACTGACAAGTTCAGGAGCCACAAACCATGATAATGGGCCGAGAACCATTCCAAATGAAATGCAGTATGTGAGGAGAGATGCTAAGCATGCATACTTCGTCCATGAATATGGGGAAACAACTGTAGAAGAGAGATGAGAGAAGAAAGCAAAGCAAACGAGCAGAACGTTTGAAAGTATTCCGAAAAGAATGAGAAGTTTTCTTCTTGAGAATCTGTCAATTATTGATGCTCCGAAAACTGATGAAAGGGTGAGAACGACTTGAGCTAGTGTGGAGCAAATCTGCGACACCTCGCTGGAAATAGAAACCGTTTTTATAGTTAGTGCAAAGAAAACCTACTCTGGAATCCCAGACTCCAACAAAATATAAGTTGAAGATTGAAGGATGGGATAGAATGACAAAGTGAGCGACAAGGTTGCCAATGCCAATCGCATAGCTTGACGAAGATGCCATTTTGAGATCAAATCGACAAACGTTGAGTCGGACGCTTTCTCCGTCATTCTTTCCACATTATAATCTTCGATTAAGAATTTATTTTCCGGAGACTTTCCTTGGAAATACTCTAGTGATTCAAGTGCTTTCTCCCGATTGTTTCTAAAAGAAATGATGCTTCGAACTCTGAAAGTTAACTGGAATACCTCATGATCACCAAAAATTTTGGTGTTTCCGGAATTCGAATCACAAAGCATAACGATGCGAACAATGGAATCAGTGATAGTAAAAGAAGTCGAGAGAGTGACTCGCCAAGTACTGACTTCATTCCAAGAACCATTCCAAGCACGCACATTGTACCGTAGCCAATTTCGCATAGAAACGATGACATTCCACGAATTTCAATAGGCGATGTCTCTTGAACATATAGTAGAAGACAAGCGTCACCGAGTGGTGAAACAAGTGCAGTCAGTGATCTACCGAGAATCAGTCCCCATGGCAAGTAGAAACACATGGAAAAGTATTGAACGAATGTAGCGAATATTGTCGTTGTCACACAAACGATATAACCAATTTTTCTTCCGTACTTGTCAGAAATCATCGGTGTCATCATAGCACCGAATATTTGAGCAACAAACCAGCAATTCAAAGTCGCCGACTGAAAAAATATTCATTTGACTTTCAGAAAAAAGCGAAACTCACTTGAAACAGAGCGATAGTGCCTTCATCATCTGGGAAGCCTTCTTTTCGAAGTGAAGTGGCTATGAATCTAGATAATAATGAATTATCATCTTTGAAGAGTATATCTTACTTATGTAGCTTTCCGACAGCAGTGTTGACTGAAGAGTTAGTGAAACCAGATGGAAAGTTAGTGATTGCCGAAAGGGCTGCATAAATTGAGATGAGTCGCACTGTTTGCCAGCGCATCTGAAATAATGAATATTTTCAGATTAACTCGAAAAGAAACAGCATGAGCCGAAAGTGTGATTGCAAAAACTACATCTCGTGAGAATTCCCAGAAATAAAATAAATTTTAGCGCCTTTCAGTTTAAAGGAACATACGATCCCGCGCAGTGGTTTCACAACGAAAGTTCTACTGTAGATGTGTTTTCTTTTTTGTTTTTTTTGTTTTTCCTATTTTTTTTTAATTTCTTGCATTTAGAATCGCTTTGAACCCGAAATCATGCCGAAGGGAGGAGCTTCATCTCTAACCCCAGTGTACGCTGGTCTTCGCGAAGATCTTGATTCTTTTCTGAAGGCGTACTTACAAGTGGAGTCGATGAGGTTAGAAATATACGAGAATCTGTGAAACAGTTGTTTTTTTAAAGGTTCTCCGACTATAAGAAACTATTTGAGCATCAAGGAATGATTTATCTTCTCAATGGCAGAGATAATAGTGCCGAAATCATAGAGGTTATTCGGATATTTTTATAAAAATTTTCAGAATATGTTTTTTAGTTCAACGAATGTTTGCTGGTACATTGCCTACCATACATGGAAGAGTTTGTCTGTTCAGATGTACCGCGGAGTTTGAAGGAGCGTCTATTCGGTCTTTATTCATTGTACACATTCTTCTATGTCCAACCAGAATGCCACGTCGTCAAAGTTCGAATGGACCCGGATACGTCGCGCAATTTCAGAAGACTTGCAGAACTTCTTCTCAGAGAACGAATTCTCGATGCTTATATGATTTGTTTGAAATTGTTGGAAGACAAGGCGATCAGACATGTTGCTTTTATTACCATCGTGAGTTTCAATTAGCTATTCATTTTCTTAGAAACATCCTACAGCACGATCCAGCACACTTCAAGAGATTCAACACGGACGATAAAGTAGCTAGAGTGAAAGTTCTGACAAATTTAAATGATCCAATGAGCAACATCAAAGCACTGATTGAGTCGGACACATTCCAAAAACTAGGATTAGTTCATTCCAAGTACATAAATCTGAAGAAGCGCATCGGGTTCACCGGCGGTCAGGTGACTGATATTGGCGAGAACGTGAGAGAGTCTATGGAGCAACGTTTTGGTGAAATGTCGAATAATTACTGTGGAGTGGATGAAGTATGTTCTTAAAGGTGGGGGGACAGGAGATTTTACGGGGGATTTTTGGGGCCAGAGTATGCATTCTACCGTGACGGTGTACAACGCTTAATGTCACTCCGCGTACAGCTGTCGTCCTCGCCTTTATGTATGCAATCGGGCGACCGCTTTCTCTTTGCCCTTGTAGCTCAGTCGGTAGCGGCGCCGCACCCTCAATCCTCGTCCCACACGTTCAACTCCTCGAGAGGCATATTTAAACGAAATTTCGAGAACATTATTTATTCATGTCCCCCCACCTTTAAAAAGGTATCTGCAAACTGTATTTAACAATTCAGATAATAAGTACTGATCACTCATCTGAACAGTTTGCTTCCCGCGGAATGCTTCGTTCTTCAACTAAGGAACAAGCCTATTCAGCCGAGCTCAAACTCACTCGTTTCAGAAGACACCGCACAACTGCTCGTCTGTTCTCTCTATATCTTTCGTTGCAGTAATATCAATAATTTTCAGCACTTCAAATTTCAACTGATAGTTTTGATTTCAATCAAAAGACATTGGAAGAAGATGTCAAGGACATCAAAAACATTGAAAAAGTTGAAGAATATATTCCGTCGGAGCCAGTTCATCGTATGAAGAGGAAAATCAAAAACAGTCCAGTGCATGAATCTAAGGTGGCTGAAGAGCCTAGTTCCCCTGAACAGAGGGTGACGAAAAGGAAACTCAGGAGTCAGAATAATGTAATATTTCAGTTGTATTCGTCTTTTGAATTTGATTTTTTACAGACATCTGATAAATCGAATACTGATATCTCCTCTCATATTTCGTCTGGTCAATTAAGTGAAGCCGAATATTTCGAAGATACACTTCTTACTACAAAAGAGGAAAGAGTTGGCTTGAATTCAATAGAGGCAAAAGTGAAGAAGGAGCCCGAAGTCCGGGAGTACCGGAGAACTCTTCGTTCATCCGGAAAACTAGTTACGCTAGATATTACCCAAAATGGTTCTCCAGCTGGAACAGATGAGTGTATCGAAAGCTCCAATTCACCAATTCCGAAGCCTATAATTAAATCAACTAAGGATGTCAAGTTGAAGTCAAATCGGAAAGTAGTCTTCCGCGAAAACGTAATATCTCTTATAACTCTATCCTACCATCATCTCATTTTTAGCAGGAAGGACAACTCCACACTATAATACACGAAATATCTCGCGAATCATCATACGAGACTGTTCCAGAAGTAGAGAAAAAAGTGAAATATGAAACGAAACCAACAGCTTCGCTTCAAAAGGGTTCTCCAACACGAACATCAAATCAGCAAGGTAAAGTGAAATCGAATGTTGAAAATTTTAATTTTATTTTTCAGAAACCGCCTTCGATGATACTGATATGTTTCAGCCACTCTATAGAGATGATTTGGATGATGATGATGATGATGATGATGGTATCAACGATGATCTCTCGGATATTCTTCTTTCAGACGACGATCTTATGATTATCGACGACGTAATGTAATATGTGCTTCATTCTGCACGATTTATTTTGCACTGCTTTTTATGTCATCGTTATATGTACTTCTAATCAAGTTTTTGTTTTTACTGCATCTGTTGTATTTCTTGCAATTGTTGACAATAGTTTTTTTAAAGTTTTTTAATAAACCGTTCAAAATTATGTCATCTGTTAATGACTTTATTCTTGCAAGAGAAGTAAAACATTGAATTGGTTGATAAAACGTATCATATTTATGAGTTAAACGGGTGAAACATCATGCAAGAAAAGGACCCATAGGGAGGTCGTAGAGGAGGAAAACACAGAAATAGGAAAACAAGTGTAGAGAACGGTAATAATTGAAACTCGATGCGAGTCAATAAGCAGTGTGCAATATCACAATAAAAATGAGGGCAAAATTAGCGATGATGGGACGCGAATTTCGATATGTTTGAAATTATTATAGAACGGCAAACTTCCGAACTTTGTAGTAGCAAGTCAACATGGAAACTGGGAAGAACTAAACTTTTACATGAGCGTGAAACTGGGAATTTTAACTTCGAAAATTCAAATTTTTGGTTTTCTAAAAATCAACGTCTACTAAAAACTTAGTATTAAAACAGTGAAAAACAAAATTTGTCAAAAAT